TGTCTCTCTCTGTCAAATAAATAAATAAAATCTAAAAAAAAAAAAAAAAAGTTAACCTGAAATTTTTTGATAGTTAATCTTTGAAATAGAATGGATTCTCGGAAGCAGAGAATGTTTTTAAGCACAATAAAAAATACTTACTGATATTAATGTTTATTACTTTAGATATTAATATTTATTTAGGAAATAAACTCAGAAATTTTTGGATGAAATTCACAAAGTATGATAGGTTGTTTTGCCCTATAAGTTCAGTGTGTGGGCTTTTCATTGTTTTTTGATTTTGTTTTTTTTTTTGTGGTTTGGTTTTATGTTCACTTGATTTTTGTTTTTGTTGAAAAACATTGTGCTTTTTGTAACAATGCAACCAATTATTGGTTAGGTTTTCTACTACATTGCTAACTGATACAGAATGTCATTGAAGTCATTAAAATTTTCATTGATGCATTCCAACAACTTTTTGTTTCAAAAGTTTCATTAATTTTCAGACTTACAGAGAAGTTGAAAGAATAAGAAGCATCCGTATTCCTTTGAATTGGTAATTCCTTAAAATTACCAATTTTTTAAACATTTTGCTCTATTTTATCTCTTTGCTTTTTTTATTGTTGAACCATTTAAAAGTAAGATTCAGATATAACACTTAAGACCTAAAAACTTTGGTGTGCATCTTAAAAATAAGGATTTTCTTACACAGCCACAATACCATTATCAAATAGCTAATGTATTAATATTAATTTAGTAATATCATGTGATATGCAGTCCCTATTCAGATATCCCCAGTTGTCCTGAAACATTTTTTATAGATGTTTTTCCTCTTTGAACCATGAATCACTCAAGGTAAACGTATTACATTAGATTATGTCTCTCAAGTCTAACTTAAAAAATAATAATTTTAAACACAATAGTACAAAGAACCCTTGTATATTTTTATCAGATTCATCCCTCTCTCCCCCAACAGTGTATTTCTGGGTGTGTGGATGTATAGAATTTTTTTCCTGTACCATTTTAGAGTTAGTTGTGGATATCAAGCTATTTCCCCCTGAATACTCTAAATGATAGTATTTCTTAAAAACAAGAACATTCTCTTCCACAGCTATGTTAGAGTTAGCAAATTCAGCAAATTTTACATTGGACAGTATTATCTAATAGCCCATATTCGCATTTCACCAAGTGTCCCAATAACACATTCATTATTTCCTCTCATCCAAGATTCAAATCAGGATCACAAATTGCATTCAGTTCCATGTCTTTTTAGTGTCAAATAATCTGGAACTGTTCCTTCACCCTTCTTTGTCTTTCAGAGAAGTTCTTTGGAAGATTACAGGTCAGTGGTTTGGTAAAATTCCCCTTAATTTTGTTTTTCTGATGTTTCTTCATGATTAAATTTAGTTTATTTTTTTTTTAAAGATTTATTTATTTATTTGAGAGAGCGAGAATGAGAGAGAGAGAGTACATGAGAGGGAGGAGGGTCAGAGGGAGAAGCAGACTTCCTGTGGAGCAGGGAGCCTGATGTGGGGCTTGATCCCAGGACCCTGGGATCATGACATGAGCTGAAGGCAGACACTTAACAACTGAGCCACCCAGGCGCCCCTATTTTGAAGAATTTCAAAGCTACAGACAAGTTGAAAGAATGATAAAATGAATACCTCAATACCCTCCACCTAGATTTTTAAAATAAACATTTTACCATATTTGCTTTATTTTTTTCTCTCTAAATATATATGTATATTATTTCTAAGCTGTCTAAAAGTAAGTTGCAGACATTCTGACATTGCACCTATAAAACTTCAACACGTATCCTAGGAATGACATGTGCTTACATAATCACAATACCTTTTATAATACCTAAAAAATTAAGAGTAATTCCATAATATCATTTGTTACTCTAACCATATTTAGATTTTTTCTCAAAATGAGGGAATTTTTTAACTAGATTCTAACTAAACAATTATTTGATATGAAGATATTGTGAGGAGAAACCATTGCTTTTAAACCACCAAATATATATGCAATGTGTGTGTGTGTTTGTGTGTAATTTCCCTCTCCTCCAGCCTTTTGATTTTGAAAATGTCCAAACTATAGAAAAGTTTATGGAATAGTATGATGAACTCCTGTCTGTCACCTAGATTCCTATAACATTTTGGCACATTAATTTAGTTTATCTTTTTTCCTCTTTTTTTGAACAGATTACATGTAAGTTGGACACCCCATGCAGTATCAGCACTAAATACTTAAATATGTATTTCCCAGAAAAAGAACATTATTTTATGTAACCACAGTAACATTACACCCATAAAATTTAATAATATATGTAATATACAGTACATATTCATATTTCCCAAATCGTCCCCAAAATATTTTTTATAACTGCCTACTATACATTGTTTAGGACTTGAGCACAGAGAGGAGAATAGATGTCATATCCGTCTCATTACTAATGAATGCTGGAATGATTGATAATAGTTGCAAAGTAACTCCTGACTTTATTGTTCTTCAAGTGCTTGAAGCTAAATATACTCTAAAAACGCTTAGAACTTGCTAATTTGGTATTGCTGGTGTTGCTACTTTTACAGATGAGCCTGAAGTCTTGACAGAGCCTCCAAGTGCCACAACCACTACTACCATAGGTATATCTGCAACCTGGACAACTTTGGCAGGTTCCCATGGTAAAAGAAATAACACCATAACTACAACCAGTTCAAAGAGGAAAAACAGGAAAAATAAAATTACTCCAGAAAATGTTCAGATTATATTTGATGATCCACTACCAATCTCATATAGTCAGCCAGAGAAGGTCAATGGAGAGTCCAAGAGCAGCAGTACCAGCGAGAGTGGGGACAGTGATAACATGAGGATTTCCAGCTGCAGTGATGAAAGTAGTAACAGCAACAGCAGCCGAAAGAGTGACAATCATTCACCTGCTGTGGTGACCACCACTATGACCAGCAAGAAGCAGCCATCAGTTCTGGTTACATTTCCAAAGGAAGAGAGAAAATCTGTTTCTGGCAAGGCTTCAATAAAGTTAGTTCCAATCTTCATTTTTATTATTTACAGTATCATCATGAAATTCTTTGTTGCTGAATTTTTCAGTAAAAAAAGGCAAATTAACAACTGGCAAAACAAGGGTTGTCTTTGTGCTAAAGAAGTCACAATTTCATTTTAATGGAATAATAGGCTATTTTTGAAGTTTTGTGTTAAAAATGAAAGATAAAATTATTTTTACTATGTAACTTCTTTATTTTGGTTGTTAAATTTTAGCCCATGAAAAGTATTGATTATGATTTCTTAGGGGTTATTACTATAATTCAGCTCTGCTAATTTTGACCTCTAATTGACTCTTCATGTTATGCTAAATATTGAAAAGTGAGAAATAAGTTACTCATTTGTTTACTATATTTATCCAAGAATAAATAAAAGAATAAAATTATGTAATAGATTGCCTCTTTCATTTAAAATTCTACATTTGTTCTATATTTAATGTATTTTCCTCCCTCTGTTAAAGATTGTCAGAGACTATCAATGAAGTAACCAGTAATTCTCTGTCTACTTGCACAAAATCTGGTCCATCTCCCCTTTCCTCTCCAAATGGGAAGTTAACAGTAGCAAGTCCTAAGCGTGGACAAAAAAGGGAAGAAGGATGGAAGGAAGTTGTAAGAAGGTGAGTGATTGTTTCTTTAATTGTTTTTCTCATTCTTTTTATGTGAGGTGTTGTTTACCTTACCCTTAGATTCCTCCAACTATCCCAAAGGTTGCAAATGAACTGGTGGCCCAAGGCTGAATCTGGCCAACAGAGATAGTGTGCGTACACTGTATTTTAGATGGGAAAAAAAAAGTAGATATTAGTACTTCTAAAATTAGGAGATTTTACATAAAAAGTACATAGACTTTCTGAAAAAATTACATGGATGATTGTGGTATTTGCTTGACCCCCAGGTATTGCTATTTGGTAGAGAACTAATTTAAAGTCTTTAGGGTGATAGAGTGTGTCTTACTCAACTTTGTAATCTGAGAGCCCAGTATGTGGTATCTTTTACATACTTGTAAATATTTGAAGAATGAGTAAGTATTGGTTTCAAACTATTCTTGTCTTTAAACCACAGGATGCCTTTATTTAAAGGATTTTAGGACTGAAATGTTTGGTTATATTTTGTTTGGGCTTTTTTGAATTATATATATCAAACAGTAAAACAGTATCTCAAACTAAAAGGTGGTAAGATACCACAGAGGATCTATTGTAAATCTCTAATAACCTATTCTAAAGAACTTCCCAGAAATTTCAACAAAAATTTAAGCTTTTGATTATTTGA